ATTCATTCATTTTCCTTCAGCTTAGTCCCTTATTTATCTGGGGTGACCACAGCGGAATGAACCGCCATCTACTCCTGTAAATGTTTTATGCAGCGGATGCCCTCCCAGCCGCAATGCAATACTGGGAAACACCCACACACACACTACGGCCAATTTTGTTAATCTAATTCACCTATAGCGCATGTCTTTGGACTGTGGGGGAACTGGAGCACCCAGAGGAAACCCACATGAACACAGAGAGAACATGTAAACTCCAACTGGTCCAGCCGAGGCTCGAACCAACGACCTTCTTGCTGTGAGGTGACAGTCCTAACCACTAAGCCACCCTAATATATAACTAATAATAATATATTGAATCCTTTCCACTACAGTTATCTGAATCAACAGCTATAATGTAAATAAAAACAAGCCGCTGTGACTCCATACAGTAACTTCAGCACATACTGGACTAATTACAAACACTGAAGCGGACTCAAGGGGTCAACAGAACATTGCATTTAAATTATATTATTGATATTAAGATTCCAGTAGACCTTAATGTTTATTGTTGACCTTATTCTTTAATGTGGAAGTGCGCTCGTTTCTGCGATTGTTTTAGAACTTCCGATTCAGTCGCCTATGGAAGAAATTAATGAATAATAAACAGCAGAAAACGGTCAAACTACTTGCTCTACAAACAAGCGTGTCCATGACTATACAGTCAAAATAGAATAATATAATAAGAAAATATTAGCAACAATCAAACGAGCTGTTTTTAACATCTAAAAATGAATAGAAGTGAATGAGACCGGAAGTCTTGTGCCAAAAAGATTCAAATGGCTGCATCCGCTCATGCGTGGAGAATAAGGTGAATAGAAACAACAGATTTTCCAGCATTAGCAAAATATGAATCTGAAATCATCTGAAGCATTATCTGCCTCTAGTTTCTATGCCTAGAGGAACATTTTTACATGTCAGAAGACCTCTGTTCTGCTTCAAGTACAATATGAAATGGACATAATTATACATTTTATCGCTTCGTCTAAAATTCATTAAAGCACAGAGAAGACAGATGAAAAAGAGGTTTTCAAGAATCAAAAATATGAGTCTGATATGTGAATATATTTTTGTATCTGTATTCTTACATAAGAATGTCATTCATTCAATTATTTTCCTTCGGCTTAGTCTCTATTTCAGAGGTCGCCACAGCAGAATGAACCGCCTACATAAGAATGTGTTCTACAGAGTTGGTTGTAATCTGTAATCAAATTACATTTTTGGATGCAGTACGCAGTAATGTGACAAATTACATTTTACATTTGTGTAATTTGATTAAAGTTACTAAAGTCAATGTAATTGCGTTACTTGCGTTACAAATATAAAATGTAAAAAAAAATGCTTCTTTTAAATCATGTTTTCTGCTGCAATGTCAGTTAATAAGCATGCACATTTAAATTGCTGGAAAATGTGAGCTGAAATGACTGCTGGCAGGGCCGGAGTGGGATTCCATTTCAGCCTTGGAGTTTCAAGCCTCAGACCGGCCCACCTCAGTTCACGACAGACTATGTTAAAATAAGGTCATTTCCAAATCAGTTTCTAATGACACTATTAAGTCTTTTTCAAGAAAACAGCTGCTTTAGAACTTCAAATGTTCAACAACCCTAACAGTATTATATGTCTTAACAATGAAAATGAAAAAAAAATAAAAAATTAGTCAGATGAGGTTTGAACCCGGGTCGGCGGCGGCATGACGCAACGAGCTGACCACTGGACCACAACAGCTTTTTTCAGTGTAGTGACACATCTGAGTTACATCATCATTAACCTGCAGGCTGCATTTTGCTCAAGAGGCTGCGAGAAAATAGATAAAAAGAGTGGAGCAGCGGCAAAACAATGAATAAAAAGAGTGAGTGAAATAAATAAATTAAAAAAGTGTGACTACTGAGAGCAACAGAGTCTGGAGCTAGGGACACCAGCCCTCGCGGCCAAAAGTTGGACCGGCCCACCGGGAATTCTCCAGGTCCTACGGATTAGCCAATCCGGGAATGGCTGCTGGCGAGAGCAGCTGCTTCTTCAAATGGAAATACAGACATTACTATGATTTCATCAAGCGTAAAAACAAAAATATTGTTGTGAAATTCAGTCTATGTCCAGTCTCTAAATAACTTTCAACTTTAACACGCACATATACACACACACACACACACACACACACACACACACACACACACATAAATATATGTATTCCTTTAGGGGCACAAAACTGATTTTTTTCATCCAAGCAAGTCATATTTTTTTACACTACAGTACAGATGATTTGGCCATAGAAGAATCTGATGTGAAATTTTTCACACTGTAAGACATGATTTCTCTTATATCCTAAAGTCGAGGAAAAAAAACACTTTTTTACAGACTTCTACAACTCTAGAGACACAGCCATTTTCTCACTGTCGAGAAAATCTCATTAGTGCTTTCCTATGCCTATGGCTGGGTTCATTTTGGCACCTCACATGGGCTTTTTCTATCCACCTTTTTATCTGGACCTTTTTATATACGTTTCTGCACTTCCAGATTGTTGAACTTTAATAAAGTAGTAAAAAATGCAATTGGTAAAATTGCAATGTATTTCTTCATTTAAATTTGCATTCTATATGACATATAAGCAAAGTAAAATTTAATTTGGGTATTACATTCTCAAATTAATTATGCAGCTTATATACCTGAAAATTTGTATGTAATTTACATATTTAAACTCAGTTCATTCATTTTCTTTCGGCTTAGTCCCTTTATTAATCCGGGGTCGCCACAGCGGAATGAACCGCTAACCTATCCAGCATATGTTTTACGCAGTAGATGCCCTTCCATCCGCAACCCATCACTGGGAAACATCCATACACACTCATTCACACACATACACTTGAGACAATTTTAGCAAACCAAATTCACCTGCATGTCTTTGGACTTGTGGAGGAAACCCACGCAAACACAGGGAGAACATGCAAACTCCACACAGAAACGCCAACTGACCCAGCCAGGGCTCGAACCAGCGACCTTCTTGCTGTGAGGCGATTGTGCTACCCACTGCGCCACCCTAAATTCAAACTGAGGTTGTAAATGAAAAATGTAAATGATTTTCGCTGCGTCCGAAACCGCATACTTCCATTTTATATAGTACGCTAAAATCAGTATGCGAGCCGAGTAGTATGTCCGAATTCATAGAATTCGAAAATCAGTATGTGAGAAGTACCCGGATGACTTACTACTTCCGGCGAGATTCTGGAGTGCGCATCCCATGCACGCTGCACTATCCCATGATGCCCGGCGAGAGAATTCATGAATGGGAGTAAAGCGACGCAATTGACGCAGCCACGCAGGTAGGTCGCTCGACCATGACAAAATAGCGGATGTAGTACGTCCGAATTCCATTCATACTTTACACATTCAAACTGTGTAGAAAGTACTTTTCTAACGGCCGAGTAGTACGTTAAAATTCAAATAAAGTACCTACTGAGTAGTAGGCGGTTTCGGACGCAGCCTCTGTTTCATTTTGCACCAAACTTTGAACATATCCAAAGAATCCAAATTTAGGTAATTTGCATGTTACATTTCAAAGTGAATTTTGCTACTGATAAGCTTCTATAAATAAGAATGTGCCACAAATAATCCATATGCATAGTAATCAGGATGATAATGCACCAATACACACAACAAAACAGGTGACAGAGTGGTACCCTAAAGTCGTGGGGACGTTGCATGTTGTTTGAAAATGAAAATCGGGTTGATGTCAGAACTCAATGTCGGTCCAATGTCAAAGTCCAACGTCCAACCCAAAACCAACCAATTATCAATGTCTTGATGTTGTGTGGACTTTACTACTATGACGTCTATCAGACATTGGATTTTGGTTGCAATACCTGACGAATAATTATCAGATTTTGGTCACTTTCTAACATAACCTAAAATCAGCCAAATATCAACGTCATTTGATGTCGTTATTGAACTTTAAAATAACGTTGTCCTTAAGGCTGATTTATACTTCTGCGTCAAACGCTGCATATCCTACAACGCTAACGCATAGCCCTTTGCCGTGGGCATCGGCGTCACTGAAGTGCACCTCTCAAAAAATGTAACTACACGTCGCAACAACGCGTAGCGCAAGCTCTGTGATTGGTCGGCTTGGTAGCGCTGACGAGTCTGGGCAGGACCGAGAGCGGCGCAAGCCCAATGGAGCGATTGTTTACAAGTGTGGAGTCCCGTGAAGGAGCTCCGGATGGAAAGTTTTGTTTTGTGTTTACCTCATAGTTAAAGTTGTTGCACGTCCGCCGGTTCCTGCCTCAAAATGAGCGAGTTTGAGCCACTTGTACATCCCGCAAGTGTTCAGGAAAAGCAAAAAAGCAGCGAAGAAACTCGACACAGAGGAAGATATAAACCTCACTGCCAACTACCGTTTCGTAAGTGTTAATGTAGACCAACAGAAACAGCGCGCAGAAGTATAAATGCACAGCCACGCGCGTTGCCTGCGCCGTGGTTATACGCCGGTCACTTGACGCAGAAGTATAAACCAGGCTTTAGACATTGAATTTTGGTCACCTGACATCACAACCTAAATCTAACCTTTACTGACGTAAATGCAGCACAGAATGTTACGTTTATACACATCATGTAAATGCCCACTACCCACTACTCGAGTACTTTTGAAAGGTCTACGTTTTACTCATACTTTGAGTAAAATTAACTACAGATGCTTTTTTTTACTGAAAAACCATACTCAAGTAAAAGTACTCTACTTGCCTAAAAAATGTAGTGCAAGTAGAGTACTTTTACTTGAGTATGGTTTTTCAGTACTCTGTCCACCACTGAATATGATGTACTGTCATCATGACAAAGATCAAATAAATCAGTTATGAGAAATGAGTTATTAAAACTATAATGTTTATAAATGTGTTGAAAATAATATTTTGGCTGTTCTGCCCACCCGTAATTGGACTGTGGTCAGTGTGGTGATTTGCTGGTCACTGTACCTGCAGAGTGCTGCCAGGAAAGCTGCTGATGGCTGGATAATCTGTGATCTGAAGGTCATGCACATGACCATTGAGCACTGCGGCAGAAAGATGCACCCGCCGGGTCTTACTGGACAAGGCCACCTCACTGTAGTCATCGTGAAGAAAGCGCTGCACAATGGCCGTCTTGCCCACCCCTGGAGCTCCCAGCACGGCGATCCGGAACGGAGGGGGCATCGCCCGGTTCCCGCCGCGCCCCCGGTGGGCCGTGCCACCCTCCCTGCTCTCGCAAACAGCTGGCCAGTGCATTCAGAGTGGCACATGGGCAGCACATAGTCCTGACTGAAGCACAGGCGGCGGTGTTGGCCACAGCACACTCCCATTCACAGACCAGCAGCCTCTGAGAGAGACAGATGAATGACAACAACAATCAAGAGTCCAGCTGGGGATATGATCACAACTAAACTAGGACTGCAGCCTGCACAATATAACAATTCAGCATCGATATTCACAATAGTCACATCGCAGGATCTGCAATGTTGTGTTATGATTATAGTGGACCAGGAGAAACAGTTCACACATGAGACTTGTTTGATAAGTTTAACATAATGTAGTGTACGTTTTTCATTTAAGGCCTGACAGCGTTTAAAGTATTCAGTCACAAGAAATTTGACTATTTGCTACTTTAATAAAGATTAATTTTATTAAATTAATTATACAGTAAAAACATTTGCAATGTTGTTTTACATTTGATTATTCAAAATCTGAACCTGAATACTATTTGACTGCCATGAAAAGCCTAAAACACTGTTTATTTCACTTTTATCTTTGATTTAATTTGTTTTTGGACATTTTTATGAATGAATCATTTGCGTGAAGAGTCATTTCAATCAATGTAAATGATTGAATTCTTTCTAAACAGCAGTTTTCAAGTCATCTGGTGAAATTGTTTTTATATACAATGCTCAAAATATAGGGAACACTTGGAGTTACAATAGCCGCATTCACAATAGCCGCATTCCACTATTGGGCCAGTGCGAGCCAGGGCTTTTATTGGGCCGGGCCAATCGCCCAGTAGGTTGAGTAATGAGGCCGAAATCCTGACACGCTTCCACTGTCGGGCTAGTAGCTCACAGCGGGTCACGCAAACACCGCCCCCAGAACCTCCCCCGAATCAAACGTCACACAACCCGCCCACTTCAGCGGGAATCAGGGAGATAAAGCACACCATCACATCATCACAAAACCTTTAAAATGAAGATAACAGAAACAAACAAATGACAGTGACTGTACAGCAGTACATGATATGTCTATACGCACAGACCTGTGTATTTCCATTCATTACATTTGTTTACTCGTCGACCGACTGTTGGCATTGTGCATCGAGTGGTCTCGCCACTAAGTTAACGGAGGGACCTAGCAGAGTGAGCGCACACATCCATAATATAAAGCCACAGAAATTCTCTGTTATAACTCGGTATGAAATGTATTTTATAACATCCTTGTTTTGATAGATGTTGTGTTAAGTGTTTTAGCACATAAGAATAAGTAGCCTAATAAAATATAGCCATATTTGTTGCGCTTAGCAGCTATTCACTAAAGCTCTTCATTTAAAGTTTCATTAATACATTTAACCACATCATATAAAAACATAAACACTTGTTTGAGGATATAGAACACATTTTGTGTTTGGGCTTTCCCCCAATGCGTTTAAAGCGGCGCTGCGCAGGACTGGGTGACAGAAAAAAGGTAGTCTAGATTCTGCTTTCACTCACCCAAAAAATGGTCTGTTTGCACGATTTGATTAATATCATTGTATCCAAATACTTGATAAATAATGTTTTAAACCTCCTCCGGTGTTTATTGTTTTTAGAGAATATCTAAAATCTTTTTTTTCAGATAGGTCTTTGTAAAATAAAAGTTATATGTGGCTTCAAAACGGTTTGATTTATGTATTGCATAAACCTACATTGTTCTAGCTAGCTTTTGTTTATTTTATATTGATTTATTTATTTAATGCGATTTAATTATATCCGACATTTGTAATTCTTTAAATTATATTTCAATATAGCTTAGGCTATTTTGTCAAGATATGAGACTATATTGTTTTAAGTCTACGAAAGTGGGCACGTTATTTGTTCAGTTTTATGTCTTTATGTTGTATTCATATTGTGTTTTATCTCCAAATTAAAAAATAAAAATAAATTAAAAAGCAGCTCGCGGCATCAACAAAGTTGTATAGGGAGCGCTTTCACTCGGTCTCACACACACACATACAGGCGTCTAAACGCGCACAAACACACCTTTAAAACTTGACAAAAACTCTCCACAACCTTTACTGTCTGCTGTGTCTTTAATTGAAAAATCAAGGAGAACGCTGCAAAGAACGTCACTATAAATTAAAACTACTTTATTATTCAATGCAGCAGCCTTACATTTAAAAGGGAAACATAAGGGTGATCATACGCAAAAAGACCCCAGCCTATAAGGCTAGATGTTTTCTTTCCCTTATTTATTTATTTGTTTGGCGCATGTACTCGTGTGCGATTGAAAAATTTGTGTCCGCCTCTCCTTAAACTCCACCCCGAAGTCCCAGCTGGCCCTCTTTGGCCCAAGGTATTCGGCGGGCTGAAAAAGGCCGGCCACTGGCCCCGAGAAAGCCCTGCTTTGGCTTGATTAGGCCCCGGAAGTGACAGTGGAAACGCGACTGGCCTTGGCTCGCTCGCTTTAGGCGCGAAAGTGGAAACGCGGCTACTGAATCAGAATCAGAATCAAAAAAGAGCTTTATTGCCAGGTACGTTCACACATATGAGGAATTTGTTTTTGCGACAGAAGCTTCTACAGTGCAACAGAATTACAGAGACAGGACAAAAAAAACAGATCATAAATATATTTTAAAAATAAAAATAAGTAGTGACTGCAAATATAAATAATTACAAGTGTATGAACAGGTAGGTATATAACTATATACAGTGTGATATGTGCTGCTGTTACAAATTGGCGTGTAAAGAATATTGTTAAATAAATAAGTGTATAAAAAGTAGGGATGTTTATTTCACTATTACTATCATAAGGTGTTCATGAGAGGGATTACCTGAGGGAAGTGTTTTGTGGTAGGTGTTCCATTTAATTTTTTGAGCAGTATATATCCTATCATCTGGTGAAATTTTGTGTGTATAAACAGTTGAAGTAAGAATTATTAGCCCCGTTTATTTTTTTCCACCAAATTTCTGTTTAATAGAGAGTAGATTTTTTTCAACCTATTTTTTTAAACATAATAGTTTTAATTTGTAATTTAGACATGATTAATAATTAATTATTTCATTAATTGAAAGTGAAGAAAGAGATAAAATACTATAAACGTATTTAATAGCATTATATTACTAATAGGAAAATGTTAGAAAAGTTATAAAATATATTTAATTAAATAAAACTGGCACATGATTAAATTCTACCTGTTGGATATACTGTATCAGCTAGGCATGGTGTTTATATAAAACTAGATGCTTCCAACTTCTATATACAAGTAGTTAATAGCACTGGTTTCAATAGACTAAAGCAAAAATCGTGTATTGTTTGGGTTTTAGGACAACTTTGGTGTGAAGTTTTGATATACTTCAAACATTAACTTTAAGTAATTGTTCATAAAGTAAATTTCAAAACATCAGTAGCTAAAGAAATATATTAAATAGAAAAATTAGATAAAAATGAGATAAAACACAATATTGGGGATATAAAATAAGACAATATTAATCAAATAAAACATTGATATTAAAAAAAGCTATAAAAAAAGCTGGGATTATAATTAGAGACAATATGTCTCTACAGTATTTTTGTAGTAATCTGTGTATTGTATGCGTATATCAAAAAACTTAACATAAACACTGACAACAAAACAGCTCATTATTTAACAGATATTACATTGGACTTGGTAGTTATGATGCAGTAATTGTTTTTCAAAACTGAGTGCTGTATTAAGAAATAAGGACCAGATAAAATACCAAACTATACAGTTGAACTCAGAATTATTAGCCCCCCTTTGACTTTTTTTTTATTTTTTAAATATTTCCCAAATGATGTTTGACAGAGAAAGGAAATTTTCACAGTATGTCTGATAATATTTTTTCTTCTGGAGAAAGTCTTTTTTAGTTTATTTCGGCTAAAATAAAATCATTATACAATAACTCACCTAATTACCCTAACTTGCCTAGGTAACCTAATTAACCTAGTTAAGCCTTTAAATGTCACTTTAAGCAAGGGGTGTCCAAACTCTGTCCTGTAGGGCCGGTGTATTGCTGAGTTTAGCTCCAACTTGCTTCAACACACCAGCCAGGAAGTTTCTAGAATATCTAAAAAGAGCTTGATTAGCTGGTTCAGGTGTTTTTGATTAGGGTTGGAGCTAAACTCTCGAGGACACTGGCCCTCCAGGACCAAGTTTGGACACCCTTGCTTTAAGCTGTATAGAAGTGTCTTAAAAAACATCTAGTAAAATATTATTTACTGTCATCATGGCAAAGATAAAATAAATGAGTTATTAAAACTATTACTGTATGTTTAGAAATGCATTTTAAAAAAAATCTTCTCTTCATTAAACAGCAATTAGAGGAAAACATAAACAGGGGGGCTAATAATTCTGACTTCAACTACATATACATATACACATATATATATATATATATATATATATATATATATATATATATATATATATATACACACACACACACACACACACACACACACACATACATATATACATATATATATATATAAATACACATATATATATATATATATATATATATATATATATATATATATATATATATATATATATATATATATATATATATATATATATATATATATATATA